CCTGTAACTCGCTTACGCTAATCTCACATTCCAATATGCCACTGCACTTTCCTCTCCAGCCTGGCCACATTCTCTTCCTCGCAAACGTACTTGGGCACCTTACAATCCAACACCATACGTGCTTTGGAAACGCGGCCAGCTGCTTCACAAGGACCCCCCTATTTACCATCACTCTCTTTAGCTTACAGATTGTTACGTGATCACCTCCTCCTCGCTCGTATCTGCTTGTTGGTTGTTGCTCGTATCTGTCTTTGGTGGCTAATGCCCCTCAAGATCTAACTTATTCACACAGACACAGTAATCGCCAAAGCGTCTAAAACAGAACACATAGCAACTGTATAGCCATCATCCCATATTCACTACACGTTTGTTTGGCACAGCAACATGTAATGTCTAGTCAACTTCACCGGCTACACAAGAAGTCCACATCAACAAAAGAACTGCCTATAATTACAGCTCTAATCCACACTCCTCAAAAAATTCCAGTAGAGGATTGACAGCTGCGCGTCTCCAAACCAAACTCCTTCCCAACAAACCTAATCCTTCCGTACTGGTGCAGCAAACAAAAATGGCTCCAAACATGCCAACAAAAATTTTAACAGTCAGCTCATAAAAGATAATATTTTTAAACATGCGTTTTCCTTACGCAACGAGTGGGCGAAAAGGCCTCCGCAAGCACCCACCCCGTCCGATTTTTATTTCATTAGATCATAAGGTGGCACGGCAGAGGGACAGCCGCATAAAAAATCACATTCTGGATAACGCTTTGCAAAGCAGGGGAGGATCAGCTGGATTAATTGTGTTGGCAAGCAAGTGTACAAGAGCACTCGCAGCTGGAGCACCTTACCCCGAGCAAAAGAAAACCCCAAAGAAAACCATCACAACATCACAGTATAAAAAGACATAAATGCCCCCAACGCAGAAAGAACTCCCTTGGAGAACCACCCTAGCTACCTACTGAACAACAAACATCCCATCATCACCATCATTTAACTCCATCACTGTCAAAATCCAGCCCCGGCAGACGTGAGGCCGTGAGGGAATGCCGTACTTCAGACCGGGATTACCAAGACAACATAGATCCCGAACAGAAAGCAGAAGACGTATTAGGACCGCTGACAAACGAATAAAGACTGAGCAGGAAAACGTCCACTTCGCATTGCTCATACAAGCACGCCACCAAGAAGCGCCCCAACAAAAACGGGCGCAGACTGCGGCATCTGGGAAGTTGAACGGTGCCTTTGTCACCAAGGCGCTACAATTTCCTGTACAACGGCAAACTGTCAACGTGAATATGCTAAGCCGTCCGCCTCCGGCACAAAAAAACAATTTGCTCAGATTTTTCTGCTTCTCTATGATTTTTACCGATTGACAACTGTGATGATGCTCAACAAGGCGAAGCGGCGGATCGGGAAACTACGACGACAAAGACGACAACGGAGGTCAAACTGGAGGCTTCGATTGGTGCTTCATGGCAAAACGACACTCCAAGGTACGGCATTGCAAACCCACAGCAAGCCCTTACCCAGAAACGATCGTTCCAACACGCAAAATCACCACTGGTGAACAGCTGGTGCAAAATTTCACTGAACGCCAACAACCAACAAAAGCAAGCAGCTGTCACGTACCATCCTGGTTCATCGTGGTCAGCGACTCCTCGATATGTACACGGGGCCCCCGTTGACTCCTTGAACCAGATGGCCGCCGGTCACCAACTCCGCGCACAGAACCGGAATCCAAAACCGAAAGCGGGTGCCAGCAGCACTTCGCACTGCACACCTTTCAGAACCCTCGCAGCCCATCGGAGGTCCTCGAGATCGAAAAAGCTACGGCAGAAAGCATGAAAATGACGTGGCATGCTGTACACGATATGCAACAGAAATGTCAAAACTGGCAGAAGCAGAGGACACACGAAAAAACCTCTGCGCACCTCGCATTTGGGAGGTGCACCAAGTCGAGCCATATGAACCGATGGGTGGAATAGATGGACTTAGAAGAAATCATATGTGGATGGGCCGGTGGATGGGTGGAATACAACTCAATAGTTGCTGTGACGGCCCTTCTTGAAGCAAATAATGCCCTGCCACCGCCTTACACCTGACACCCCGGCCAACCCATTCAAGCTCATCAACGTATTCTGCCCCGCGGAGGTCCCCCAGTCTCCGTCGCCCAAATACAAGATTGGCTCCAACAGCCAGCTGCACAGTCCCAACCCAAACACTGCCCAGCAACATCAAACCCTCGGAACCCAACCAAGGAGGGAAACACCCATCCAACACCACTAGCCGTCAACCACTTCCAGCCGGACTTCCAACTGACAACAGAGGCAGAAAACATTCGCACGGGCTTAAATCGCCAACTTGTATGCACAGCACCATTCAACTATGGCAACAAATACCACCGGGTAGGGGGAAAGCAAATGACAAGGGGGGAAAGACGCCCTCTCGAAATCTTCCGCGTCACCAAAATGCGTATCGTGGAAGCGCAGCGCGCGCAGCTCAGCAACTCCTTTTCCCCCTCTTGTATCCTCCCCCCCCACCACCACCCCTCAGCAACATTCGCAGCAGCTACTTCTAACTCTGCCTCGGTGCTTTCTGCACGTCCAAACCCCCTCTGCGGAGCCCGAGAGCACACCCTCAATATAATGACGCGCTCTCATGCAGCAGTAGCAGCTGTATCGCACTCAGAAGCACGCTGTACGTTATGTAGAGAGACGGCGCTGCGCAACACTGACCACAAAACAGCACAGCATATTCCGCCCTGGACAACACCACCGAGTAGCTTGCACAACAACAACAACAAAACAGGCCAAACAACGCGGTAACATTTCTTCTCCCTCTTCCTCACATAGGCTAGTTGACACTGGTAAGCACGAAACAAAACCTCCCACATTATAAAATACCCAAACAGCCTCCGAAGCGGAAGGGCCACGGCTCCCTGTACCTGACCAACACGGCACACGCACGCGCCTGATTGAACGCCGCAGCGGCAGCTCGTCACGCCGTCCCGGTCTTAGGCAGAGATGAGGACCGCCGGCGAACCGCCTCTGCGCCGCAGCGACCCGGCCTTCGCCGTCATAGGGACCTGGGGGGCCTTATCCCAGCCGGCAGGCTCCGGCAGCGGCACCGTGACGCCCTCCTCCGCCCGAATCTGCTGTCGGACGAGGTCGCGCTGGCGGCGGCGGCGGAGGTCAATGATGAAAGCCCAGTCCGACACCAGCTGCGTGAGCTCGCCGACACGAGTAGCGGCCAGCCAGGACCACGGGGCAGCAGCGGTGTCGCCGCCGGCAGCTGCAGCCCCAGCCGCCACCGGGCCTGCCGTAAGCAGCAGCGACGGGAAGGCCCGGACCCCATCCGGAAGGAAAGATGTCAGCGCCACGTCAAGTCCGTGTAAGGCGGCGGTGTGGGCGACACGGGATAGAGTGATGTCGGCCGCACCGCGGACGAGGGCAGGGGCTGTGCCGGAGGCGGCACAAGCTGCAGCAGCCGCACGGTTACGCTGCTCGTAGCCTTCGTTGATTCGGACAAAGACGAGGCGGACGGGTGCGTCGACGCCGGTGCCAAAGTTTTGGTGCAGGCGCTCGAGGAGGGCTGCATGTGCCACGGCGGCGTTGTCGGAGATGAAGACGGTTGCGAGCAGTGCACCAGCTGAGGAGGCCTCGCTGTGCAGGTCAAACCACTCGGCGGCGGACGAGATGATTCGCCATTCGCCCGGTAATGAGATAGCGGACACGGCGGAGAGCGCGGCTGGCGAGGGAGCAGCGGCTACAACCACCTGCGAAACAGGGAGTTAAAATGCAACGGCAATAATTATAAGCCGTCGGGAGAAATAAGTCCCTGATAGCTAAATCTTAGCTATTGTGCCTAAAGCAAGGTATGCGCTATCGGATAAGGCGTTTTAAGGTACAGCACGAATAAACCAGCTATCGCCGCTGAACTACTGCACCACCTTCACTGTAGAGTAGCTGTTAGTTAGGTAATGTCTGTTAGTTAGGTGATGTGTCAAACCTCAAACGACAATTGTGCGCAAGTTAAGGCAATGAGGATGTCGGCAGGCGCTGTTGAGGATGCTGGCTTTAGTCGCACCACCCAGCTTTAGTCCCACCTTTTCGGCGAGGGCACCCTGAAAAGCCGACGTCCAATGATGCTCCTTCTCACTTCCTTTGCAGGCTGGTGAAGACATGTGCAGCACGGCGGGAAGCGCCCCGGGTGCACCCGCTGCCAGCAGAGCTGCCACCTTGGCTAAAAGCGCGCTGGCAGCTGCGCTGGCTGTAATCGAAAGCGCACTGACCGCACTCGAGTTGGACCTGCTTGAGCTAGGAGTACTGACAGCCATGCGCACCTCCCGGCGGCAGTTGGTGACCCGGCTTGGCACGACGCTGGCCCGCGACTGGCGAAAAGTGCTGACGTTACGCATTTTGAGCAAACTGTCTGGCAACGCAAGGAAACAGTAGGCTCCAGTGTCCGACCGTTGTCAGAATCCTCGTCAGGACAGTAGTAACTTAAGGCTGCGATGCCGACTTCCCTGTCTTCAGGACAGCGTTTTATATGTGTGTAATTGTTCGCTGACGTAGTAGGCCTTTGGACGCCAGGACTAATGCTGAGGTTGCGAACACGCGCAGTAACAGGTCGCACCCTGCTGCAACTTCTACGCTGTGTTTGTGACCTTTCTACGCACAAACACCTAGCTTATAATCTAGCCTGTTCTTGCACTTAAGGTGCGCGCCGCGTTCAACCTTGGACTGATTTGGGACACTTTTTGTCCTGCGGATCGGCACAACGAATCATGGCCGATGGAGCCGTACGCTGACTGCGCTAACCAGTTTGCACATAATGCAATTTGAACGCAAAATTCCATGTTTCCCATTTTCCACACACGTTGTAAAACATAGTTGTAGAAAATTTCAAGTCGATTAACGGATGTAACTGGGTGCATAACAGCTGGCGCAAAGGCATCCCCTCACCAACCCGATGTGCTGGTCGGGAATGTCCAACCTTTGAGTATGACGTTGTTACCCTGGGCAACGTGCACTCCCTTAGCCGACGTGTGCACTGTAACTAAGGCATCAGCCGATTAAACCCAATAAGGCGGATTACGCTGAGAGAAGATTGTTTCCCTTGTACCAATTATTCAAGCTTCAGGGTGGGAGGCCTCGGTCATTATCAAGTATCCACACCGCAGACCGCCCACGCCCTCGCACCCCATAGGCACTTCCTCCCCACTAGGCGCACTCCTATATACTTTATACTTCCAGCGGATTACTGCGGCCATGTGTTCGCAAGCCACGAAACCATAATGAGACCAACTTTGATAACCGCGTATCTTGCCACAAATGTTATGGCTGCTTGCAAAACAAATTGCGGGATGCGAGGCGATGCGTACGGCTTCTTATGCAAAGGGGCGAGACCCCCCTGAGGCCCCTCCGAAATGTCAACGCCAACAGTCTCAAATTGTTCCAAATGGAAGCTTGTACGTATAGTATTAATTTCCGCGAGTGGTTTTCGCGAGAGACCTAGAACACCCAAGGCACCTCCAATCGTGCGCGCATCTTCGGTTAATCCGATTAGAACATATACTTCTCAGCGGGAGGCGCGCACCCATACTTTCCTTCAGCACCCTTTGCCTGTTTCGTACGCCGAGCTGATCATTCCTATCGATGTGAAGGAAGCACGGATTGCTGGCAGCACCGCGGGGTTTGGAGTCATTATGGCAAGGCACGGGGTCTGACGCCGCGGGAGCCGGGGAGAGACCTGGATTTACATGGTAACCAAAACAGGAACCAGTCACACCCCGCCAGAAATCATCGCAAGCAGGGGAAGAGCTGCAGCCCAGCCTGCGAAGCGTACGCCTCATATGTTGCGGGCGGCATCTCCCGGATGGAGCGGGCTAAGTGGCTCACACTGAGCGGCCGGGACGGCCCACCCCCATAGGTGGTTTGCAGGTCGTCCCACGCAGCCGCAAGGTCCATAGGCTCATACTGCCTTCCAGCCGCGACATCCTCCTTGTTTCGCGGCTGCCCACACACCCGCCGGTGAAGAGCGTAGATAACAGTCTTCCGAAGGTTTATGTTCTTAATCATGTCCTTCCCGCTCCTCCACACTGACCGGAGATCCCTGTGCTCCAGCACGCTCAGTGGTGCAAGGCGTCCCCGGCGCCTGGGCAGTAGGATGCCTTCCGTCCACTCACTCCACAGATCTCCCACAGTCTGATACTCTGCACTCAAGTCAGGTATGGATACGGAAATGGTGTCAAGTCTGCTGCCATGTTCCCCGGTAGTCCGGCGCAGACACGGTGACAAATCCCCTGGTCGACAACATCACGAGTTGCGAGAGGACCGTTTCCTCAACATACTCAGGTACACTAATATTAGCCGCTTCGGAGTCAGTCAATTCCCCTTCACCAAAATAGTTGCTCTTATCTTGCAGCAAAGAATACACGGTATCACTGCACTGCCGCCACCGCCTGTCTGTTGAGGCATGCTACCCCACCTGCCGCGTGCGGGTGCGGGCGCCAAGACCACCTCTCATTCTCTGCATGTAAGGCTGCGGCTCTCTGCAACTCCGAGCTATACGGCCCGTCTGTTGGTAGTTGTAGCATATGATCGCCTGCTGCAATCCACGCTATCCAGCGGGGTCAACCGGATACAGAATTTTCGTGGCACTCACTGCCGCCAGTCGTCTGCATGCACACCTGAGATGGCTTCGGCATACAAGTTAGGCTCTGAATCCCAGCAGATATTGCAGCAACGACTCGGCCTGTAGCACTACGACCAGGTACACTCCGTCACCACTCGCCAGGACGTTTGCATTCCTTAACTGAATACCTAGCCCCCAGCATTTCCACATCAGGGTGTGTATTCCTTGCAAATTCACACTGCTGGGAGGTCCAGCCCCAGCCAGCGCCCCCTCGCCACACAAATGCGGCGATCCCTCGCTCACGGTATTGCCTGATGTCCATTCGCCAGCCCTAGGCAGCGACCCCTCACCAGAGAAATTAGTGCGAAATCCTCGTCGGCATCGGACCCATCATCTGAATCCCTGGCGTTATGCCGCCGGCCGACATTAGATTCGTCAAAACGGACGTTGGAGACCACGGCGATGATGCCGTCCTTGTACTTCACACGATACTGTCCTCCACTCCCGTATCCGACCAGGATCCCTCAGACGCTTACTGTTGTAAGCTACAAACGCAATCTGCCTCGGGAAAACTGATCCCTTGCTAGACCCACCGGGCCCAGGCTTGCTGCAATAGAAGCAAATCACCTCTTTGTGAGGGACGCCAGAACTGCCGCTGGCCGCGCCACGATTCCCAAGACCAGAACCAGAGGCGCCAAACGAAAAACTGCCGACAGAAGCAAAAGCTGCCGACTCGGTAGGCTTACCAGACCCACCGCTTGCCATCTCGATAGTCCAGAACTTCGAGGTGACGATAGCCACGTCCGAATCGCCGTCACGCACCAGTAGGGATGTCGTTACCATGCTGAAGCGGCTGGGCAAACCAACAATCAAAGTGTGTGCCCGCTCAGAATCGCTGATAACGTGTCCTACTCCCAAACAAGTCCGACTGTAATTGCTTGCAGGCGTCCCATGCCTTCTTCGCGCTAGCTATGTAAGCTACTAGCGTTAACCGGGGCTCAATACCAGTTAAGACCAGCAAAGCGCCGGACCCCCGTTGGGTCCTGTTACCGTGGTTACCATTCACTGGTATTTGAGTGTCGATCATTTCCAACACCCCCCCATGAGCGACACTCTCTCGCTACGGTCCTACCCGTGCCTCATCCCGATCTCCCATTCTCTGGACAACAGCCAGTGGGTATCGATCCGGCGACCTCTCAGCAGCGCAATGCGCCATTCATTTGCATTTGCACCTGAAATGGCTTCAGTGAAAGTATTACTCAGCAAAAAAAACTCAGCAGGGTTCGGATCAGTGACAGCCACGTTAATGCGACCTCCTATCCTGCATCATCACACCACCGCTCCGAAGGCCATAATATCTCCTCACATTCCCTGCCCTCTTCTTCTGAACTCCTGCGCTGGCGTGCACCACTGGTTGTTCCGGCTTCATCCGGCATTCCTTCACCATGCACAGGTGACAGTGGTGCCTAGCCGACCGTGTTTCCTAAGTCTACCAGCTTGGCAGAGGCCCTGACTCAAAGAAATGCCGCCAAATTCCGCCTTTTGAACACACTACTCAATCTTTCAACGAGTTCAACGATGGAGATGCTTCAATAGCTACACTAGCCCCATTCTAAGGCGAAGGAAAACCTTACACCGCTGGCCGGGTCGTAGCATATTTGGAATGCCCACTAGTGCTAGTCCCCAAATAAAAGTCGGCTGTGCAGCACTGTAAGATGTAGTGACCACGATGGCTTTTCTGCTGTTCTCTATGGCTCTCTCAAGTCTTCCTCTGCATATCAATGCGACCTCGTCCGGATCTTTGATTGTCCTCCCATTCCGCCCACCCAGATCCATAAGCACATATAACATACTCACATGCACCAAGTATGGACTCTATGCTGAAGTTGCGTGAGAACGACTTCCGTCCGCATACATGAAGGTCATGCTACTGCCGCTGCTATTGCTGCTGCTTTGTTACATCCTGTTACCGTATTGGCACCTACCGCATCTACGACGGCTGCTACTGCTCCCAAGAATTCGTTAGGGAGGTCTCCAATCCTAAGGCATCTCAGTTCATGCGGGGGCGCACGGGAGCCGCATGCCGCTGTGGACACAACGGCTGCCTCTTCGTGATGAGCCCCCACTCGGCAGGGCACCTAGAACCTTACAATTTCAGCAACAGTAACAACCACCCGTCCCTCCACATTGGTGGACCACAACGTGCACCACGAGGTGACATCCTCCAATGCCATACACAGAAACGAAACTGCGCCCACGAGGACAGCGCCCTATAGCGGACAACAGCTTGGGCCGCACCGCACTAAACCAGCGGGCCCAACACCTCAAGCGGCACAAAGCCGGTGACCCCAAGACAGGCGCCGTACTGTACTCGTTCCCTTCCGGAGATGTGCGGTCCCTCTGGCGGCGAGGTCCTCATCAACCACAGCACCACCTCCCTCCCTCCCTCTAACGTCTCCTTCCCCTTTGCCCTCAAAGTGCACATCTGCGCCGCACCCCCTCCCTACCCCCCCCTAATCTCAGTGTAAAGGAATGTCTCCAGAAGACCAACTGCCAGCCGGCTGCTGCTCCTGTCCATGCTTTGGTTAGCTGAGGCAGCCAGCACTTCAAAACACGTCCACACCAGGGGGGTCCGGGTGGGGGTCCTCCACGGAGGGCTGCTGCTGCTGCACGCTCGCCCCCCGCACCCCCCACCGCCCACCGCCCCCTGCTGCTGGGTCCCCTACGTCGCCAGAGGCAGCGTCTGGATCAGGGGGTTCACCGCCGTCCCGCACCCCGGCTGGATTCCCACCCGCAGCTCGGCGCTGGCGCTTAGCCGGTGGTCCCATAGGGCCCTCTGGAGCGCTACCTCCGCCGCTGCCAGCTGCGATGCTGCCTGCCAATCAGGCGGGAGGGTCCATCGGCGGAAGGAGGGATGTTAGGAGGGGTAGCCCTACTCCACCTCACGCTGGGGGGATCCAACGCCGAGGGGGAAGCCTGAAGAGTCAGGTCGCACCGCGCACCACGACTACCGGCCCGTCCCCCCCCTTTGCCGCCTTTCTCTCACTCCCCCGCGGCCCCTCACCTAGCGGCATCATGCCGGTGGGCAAGGGCAAGGGGGAGCCGAACAGCCCGCCCTGGTCCCGACCCCACCGGGAGCTCCGAAACCTCTCAGGCCGCTCATCCTCCTCCGCTCCCACCTGCGGCCACCTCCCGCTGCAGGCCCCGCGCCGCCACATCGCCGCCGGTCCGCTTGACGCCACCGGACACCGCCGCCCCCTCCACCTTCGCCGCCGGGATCACCGTCGACAGCGGCCGTACTCGCATCTGGGCCCCCCCTTCAGCCCCGCCCCCACCCCCTCCTTCACCCTGCGACCTGGCGTCCGCCGCCTCCACCTTCGCCTCCATCTCCTCCATCTCCTCCCTGGGGGCGGCCACCAAAGCCGGACCCCATACCAACTCCCAACTTTCCCCCTCCTGTCCTTCCTCCCCCTCTCCCTCCCCCCCTTCTCCCTCCCCCCCTTCTCCCTGCTCCCCCTCTCCCTGCTCCCCCTCCTGCTCGCCGTCCTTACGCCGAAATATGGCCATCTGGGTGGCCTCACCCGGGTCCCCCGGGCCCTTGTAACCCGGGGACATGAGCGCACCCGCCTCGTCGTTGGCGTGACCAATACCCCGGAAACACACGTCGTACCCCCACCGCCCCGCCAGACCCTCCGCCCAGCTCCGAAACTCCCCCCGGGTCCACTCGAACCGGTGGTCCCCGCAGCGCAGCGGCAGGCCGTCGCGACCCGGGGGACCTGGCCAATGGGCTCCAGGGACGGCGGGGACGGGGACGGGGGCGGGGGACCCAGCCGAGTTGGGTTTGCGGCGATTGGCTGCTGCTGCTGTTGTTGCTGCCTCCGCTGCCAGCTGTTCGCATGTCCTCATGACCAGGTTGTACTCCCAGTTGGGGGTGGTCACCAGCAGCAGCCGGGGACGTAAACCGCCCAACACACAGGGACCAAGGAGCCTGGGTGGGGAGCAGCAGCAAGAGGGGGGAGGGGGGAGATACAGGGAGACGTGGAAATTCGAATAGGTTGTTGTCAACTGCCGGTGTCAGCTGCACAGCGCAACCAGGTCGCCAGTTGGCCCGTGCGGGTGGGTGCGGAGGAGGGCGTGTGGCCCCTGCCTCCGCGGAAGGGAAGGGGAGTGCGGCAAGCAGGAGCAGCAAATAAGTGTATGGCTGCGGGAAGGCGGCACCCCCCGTTTGAGTACTGCGTGACCCTCACCGTCTGGGCGGTGTGTGTGTGTGCTGCTTCATGTCCATGTGCGAAGGGTGAAGGGTGGAGGTGAAGGGGATCGCCATTCCAGGACGCGCTTCTTACACCGTTGTCTGTCAGGACGCCTTCGCACGTGCATGTGCGGGTGCGGGTGCCTATCACAGACCGTACGCCGTATACCGTACACTCACTGTAGTGGCTCTGGATCCAGATGCTCCACCACCTCCACCATGGCCACTGCATCACAGCCCCGGAGGCTGACCCACGGGTCGGCGCCGCTGACTCCACCACCGCCTGCTGCCTCTGCTGCTGCCGCTGTCTTCCTCCTCCTCGCCCTGCTCGTCCCCCTCCTCGCCAGCGCGGGGCTCAGCGCACTGCCCCGGTATAACAGCACCTCGACTGGCCGGGGTACGGACTCCTGGACAGCAGGGGAGAGGACGACTGAAGGCGGCTGCCGGGGAAAGGCAAAGGTGCAAAGTGAAGCTGCAAATACGGAAATACAACAGGAAAAAACAGCGGCTCCCGGCCCCCAGGCGAGCCCTCCCCCCCCCTCTCGCCCACCTCCCCAGACACCGGCATCTCCTCCAGCGCCGCCGCCGCCGCCCTCATCTTGCCCAGCCTCCTGGCGGCCCCCTGGAGGGCCCCCCGGCTGATGTCCACCCCCACTACTCGCTCCAGGGGGCCCCCGCAGTCCACCCCATGCCGGCCCTGTAGCAGCCCCTCCACCAGCTTGCCCTCCCCACAACCTGGTGCGGCAGGGAGGGCCAGAGAGGCACACAGAGGGGTGGGGGCACTACTTCATATATGTACGTGCGTGTGTCCATGTGTATCTGTGTGGTCTAGTAGAGGTGGTCTCCAGCGCCCCCCCCCCCGGCCCCCCCCAAAACCCCACGTACCTAGATCCACCAGGGTGGCCACACCCTCCCGCCGGAGAGCCGCAGCAACCGCCTGAGAGGCGCATCCGGGGCAGGGAGTGGGCAGGGCGGGCGGGCGGGCGGGAGGCTGAGGGGGGGAAGGGGGATAATGCAGCTGGACCAGGGAAAGAGGGGGACGTGGGCAATACGTACGACAGAGGGTGATGTGATGACGCAACAAGCAAAAGAACCCAAAGCACCACGTGTCTGGCCCAACAACCACCGCACCTCCATCCTCTGCTGCCCCAGCGGCGGAGTAAACAGCGGCGGCCCCGACCCGGCCCCCGCCGGGCCCCCCCTTCCCTCCACCACCGGCAGGGTAGCATGTAGCAGTGTGAGGTCCAGACATGTGTCCAGGTGGGGGAACCCGGCTCCCAGGGGGTCACATCCCTCGGCGGGTACGGACAACCTGAAGGGGGTTGGAAGGCAAGGGTGGGGGTGATAACGCCGTCAAGGGTTGTGCAGCTCACGAGGTGGAAGCGGATTGCTGGACCTGGGGTCGGGTGGAGTGGGGTGGGGTGGGGTGGGGGAACCCTCAGCCAGGCGGGCGGGGCGAAGAGCACGGGGGCCGCTGCGGGGAAGGCAAAGGGGGGAAAGACGAACCGTACGCGATTGAAGCTGCTGCCAGAGCAAGATAGTAGCAACCGAAAGAACTGACCAAAAGGCAAAGGGGGGAGGACTGCCCTCCCCTGCCCTCCCCTGCCCTCCCCTGCCCTCCCCTGCCCTCCCCTGCCCTCCCCTGCCCTCCCCTGCCCTCCCCTGCCCTGCCCTGCCCTGCCCTGCCCTGCCCTGCCCTGCCCTGCCCTGCCCTGCCCTGCCCTGCCCTGCCCTGCCCTGCCCTGCCCTGCCCTGCCCTGCCCTGCCCTGCCCTGCCCTGCCCTGCCCTGCCCTGCCCTGCCCTGCCCTGCCCTGCCCTGCCCTGCCCTGCCCTTTTCACCTCTACCGCTTCGTTTGCATTCTGCTTTCTTTTATCACTCTTTCTATTCGTCTCAGCGGCTAGGTAGCCTTTTCGTTGTTCCTTCTTTGGACTCGGCAGCAGCTGCTTTTTCGCATCAAAATCCATTTGCCTGCTGCCTACGTTGCCGTGACGACTACAAACCCAGGGGTCACTAGGGGTCCGTATCTTACCTGTCCTCCCCAGTATTGGTCTTATCTTATTGGAGTATCCGACCATAGTATTTCCTTTTCGTCGATCGTCTGTGCTTCGTCGTAAACCCCTTGCCTCCCAGCCGCCCCCCCCCCCACCTGCCTGCATCTGGCTCGTCCCCCCACTCGCAGGGCCCGCACCGCCGCATCCAGCTCGGGGGGGACTGCGGGCGCTCCCGCACACCCCACAGCCAGAGTCAGACCCGGGTGCTGCTCCAACACCAAACCACCCCCCACCCCCGGGGGCGGTGGTGCGGTCGGGCCCCCCTCGCCCTGCTGCCCGACCTCGGCCCCGGACCCCTCCTCCCCCTCGGCGGCCCCTGAGCCACTGCCGCCGGTGGGTCGCCAGGACCGTTGGTAGGGTGGCAGGGAGATGTAGTAGCCGATCTGGGGCAGTGCGGGATGAGGCGGATTGGCAGCTCGCGGTTGGTAGTTGGTGGTTGTTAGGAGGAGCAAAAAATGGCGGAACGAAAGCAAGTGTCAGTGTGAATCCAACACCACATAACCGGCAGACGGCTGAGATTGGATGGGTTGTGGTGGTGGTAGTGGTGGGTAGGCAGGGGCGGTGACCCCGAATGAGTGGGACATCAGCAGCAGATTGCGCTTCCTGGTGGCGATGCCGGGGAGAAGAGCTTTGTAGAAGACCGCGCCGTACCCTCCGCATGGGGCTTACAATGGTCCCGTGCCCCGAGCTCCATCGAACTGCAATGCTCACACATATGCCATACCTTGACCATGGACCCCTCTTGTGGTTGCCGTGCATGTGCCAACCCCGGATCCAGCACCTCCACCTCCCCCACCGCCTCCGCTGTGGCTCCCTCCCCCTGGGTGGGTGCCGCAGGTACTGCTGCTGCTGCTGCTGCCGCCGTATACCAAACCAGGGAAAGAGGGGCGATGTCAGCAGGTGGTGGGGTGGGGTGGGGTTAGGCGGCATGAGGGTGCCCCTCCCAGCCCCTCCCCGCCCCTCCCAGCCCCTCCCAGCCCTTCCCAGCCCCACCCAGCCCCGCCCAGCCCCACCCAGCCCCGCCCAGCCCCTCCCAGCCCCGCCCACCCCCAGGGTTGACAGCCGCTCAAGGCAGCGCAATGCAACAAACAGCAACCACACCCAGAACACAGTCCCCGGTCCCCCCCGTCCTATCAATCGTGTGTGGTTCGTCTTTCCCCCCCGTCCTACCGGGCCGTGTCGCTGCTCCCGGCTGAGGCTGCTGCTGCTGTGTTGGTGCTGAAGGTGTTGGCGGCTGCTGCTGCGGCTGCTGCTGCCCCGTCAGCTGCTCCGCGGTCACAGTGCCTCCCAGACACGCCGCATCCAGGCTCTGCAGTTCGAGGAGGGCGGACAGCGCCACCTGCTGGGACACGATATCCAGCGGGCCCGGACCTGGGGCCGGGGGGTGGGAAGGGGGGGGGGGGGTCGGGGGGATCATGAGCGAGAGAGGGGGAGACGAAGTGCCGGTGTCCAGGGCCGGGGGTCGGCCTGGATGGACGGATGGATGGACGGACGGATGGACGGATGGACGCACGAAAACCTACTACAAGCACCAGCCCACCTAATTGAAAGTTTGAGTAACTGCCCCGCCTGGCCCCCACATCAGAACCCCCTAAGGGAGGCCCCGCCTCGCACCCCCCAGCTTTCATAGCCATGCCAATACGCCACGACACCCACCCGCTGTGACCTTGTACGGCAGCCCTAAGAAGTTGGTACCCGCCAGCTCCGCCAGCCCCTCCCCCGGCAAATCCACATCTGGTACGACAAGCTCCAGGGAGGTGATGGCGGCAGCGGGGCTGTGCGCCGCCATGTAGTTGTCTAGAAGTTGCCGCGGCGGTGGCCCCACCCAGGAGGCCGGGCCCCGGTACTCCGCGGGCAGGCCGCGCAGCAGCAGCGGCGCGTGGGCGGCCCGGGTGTAGGCGGCAGCTGGGGTCATGGCGGTTGCCGTACGCCACTCGTCCATGGGGCCGTAATTCCGCCAC